CTCGCCAGCACGAGTCAAGCTCGCCTGTTTGTTTAACTCGCCAACACGAGTCAAGCTCACCTGTTTGTTTGACTTGCCAATACAAGTCAAGTTCGCCTGTTCGTTGGACTCGCTAGCATGAGTCGAGCTCTCCTGTTTGTTTAACTTGCCAGCATGAGTCAAACTCACCTTTTTGTTTGACTCACCAACACGAGTCGAGCTCGCCTGTTTGATTAACTTGCCAACACAAGTCAAGCTCGCCTGCAGGAAGTTCGCCTAATGCTTGGGGGGGTCCGCCAACCGATCCCACCTGTTCGCTAAGCTCACTTGAAACTCACCTGAGCGTTCAAACAAGCTCTCAAGCTCGCCCGCAAGCCTATCGGCCTCACCTGAACAGTGCAAGCGGCTACTTGCTTGTGGGAGTGGGCCTACCCACGTCCCACATCTTGGGTGATAAGGCATGGCTCCCATTACCCCTATAGTGGTCACATCCCATAGCCAGGGGAGGGCATGGTGCTCCTCACCTATTAGTGGTTACATCCCATAAGTTAAGGGGGAACCATGCTTTCCCTTGCCTATTTAAAGACCTCCCTTTGCCAACGTGAGAGGGGTCTTGAGTTTGGTTGGTTGGCTAGTATGGTCTTGCTCCTGGCTGGTGTTGAGGCTCTTCAAGCAGAGGCTTCCATTGGCTTTCTTGGTTGAACATTCTTGGCTATAAGGTTGGATTGTTGAAGTAGACTCAATCTGAACTCTCAGATTTGAGACTCATTAGCTCTCTACAAACTTTTGCATTATAGCCCTCTCTAAGCTTTCGGCCTTGATACCTATCAAGTTCGGGTATAATCGAACTCAATCACACAAGAGCTTCTACTGCGTACTGAAGCTCAACCACAATTTCGATCGGATCGTCTAAGGGAAGCAAACTCGACACAAGCATTCGAGGAGGCGTCCTATCGCTGCCAAAGAACCCACGTTAAACAAGAAAAGCATTCTCTTCGCTTTTGTTGTAATTTTAATTCTTGATTTGTAATAAGTCATTCTTATTAATACAAATCCCCTCCTTTTCGGAGAAATCAATTTTACCCACCTACAAGATCGTGTAGAGGGTGGTGGGAGAGAGGGCGAGGTTGGTGCCGACAGCGACAGTGGAGCCCATGTGCTTCGAGAGGCCGAGGGTGAAGTTAGTTTGTTCGAGATCGATTCTCTCATGTTCATTTTTTATTTTTTTATTTTTTCTTTTTTCGAGAATTTCTGAGAGTTGAGGAAAGTGAGAGTGTGAAGAAGGACGCAGAAATGGAAGAAGAAGAAAAAAAAGAAGATGGTGATAGTGATGGAGGAAGAGTCAAGTAGTGGGAAGAAGAAGAAGAAGAAGATGGTGGTGGTGATGGAGGGAAATGTGGATTGTTACTGTGCAGGTTTTTCTGGATTAGTTTAGAGGGGGATTAATGGCCATTAAACACACGGACTACTAGTCCCATGTGTTTTGAAAATAAATTTCAGTAAAATCGACCTCTTTTTAGTCAGTTTTGGTAAGTTAGCCAAAAAGAGGTCGGTTTTCCTACATAGTAAGTAAGGTCGGTTTTGCTAAATATTTTATAAAAACTGACCTATTTTAAAAACTTCTCCTTTGAAGTAATGATGTCAATGGGCTTTTTGAGGAGGTTTTGTGTGACACCACATGATCGAGGAGGGTTGAGTTGAGTTCTCATAGTTGAGGGGTCCTATACAACACCCTCAAAATTAAGGGATTTTCACGAATTAAAATAGGTGAGTGGAATTTTCTAAGGGGTTGTTTGGTACATTTCCGAAAAAAAGAAAACAGAAAACAATGTTTGAAAACCATTTCTGGACATTTTAGATGGTTTCCCTTATTTGATTTATTTGGTTTGTTTCACATTGAAATCATAGGCTGGAAAACAAGGATTTCCATTTATTAGGTTTGTTTGAACATCCAAAAATTAAGAAATATCATTTCAGCCGGCATTTCAATAGTAGTTTGAGCAGTTAAATATTACCTTTTAATCCCAGCAGCCGTTTTAAAAGTGTTTTGAGCAATTAAAAATTGCTTGAAGTGACATTTCTCACTCATTTCAGTCCCTTTTGGTCTGAAATGAGTTTTCTACAAAAACTGACGTGACACCTCATTTCACCCCTTCATTTCTTTAAATCACATACCGAACTACGGGGAATGAAAATGTCTTAAAATTAAAATCCTATATCACGCTATTATCAGATTTTAAATGCTCCATTACTCTTTTTTTAAGCAAACAAACAGCCCCTAAACGTCACCCAAAAGGTTTCTACATTGTTCATGTGGTCCTACTGAAAGTGCCAATATGGAATCCACACGTTTAACAGAACGGAAACAGGAAAACACAGAAACGAGAAAGCAGTGAAAAGTCTTTCTATCTCTCCTCTCTTTCTCCTATATCCCTCGTTCTCATCCTCTGTCCCGTTCTTCCTCAAAACCGAGCCCTAACCATCATCCTCAATCGTCAAATCCAATGGCGGATCGCGGCGGAGGATCAGCGGAAGACAAGATAGCTTACTTCCAGGCCATCACCGGCCTCGACGACCGTGATCTCTCCACCGAGATACTTGCCGCCCACGACTGGGATCTTGATCAAGCCGTCTCCACCTTCACCTCAAACCCTAGCCCTAACCCTACAGATTCCAACAATTTTCCCGCCGCATCAACTTCTAATCCCAGCGATCGCCAACGCGCCCTTCCAGAGCCCCAACCCTAGCCGTGGACTCGGACACTCCCCTTCTACTTTTCTCCGGTGGCGTCAGTACCTCACTCCCGCGCCGTAGGCCTTTGGCTTTCTGGATCGCGCGGACGTCCTCTCATCCTCTCTCATCCTCTCGGCCTCACTCCTCCAAACGCCGGCCACAGGACCGTCTCGCCCTGTCCTCTTCCTGTCCGAAGCTTGCTGCCTTTGTCTCCGCCTTCGAGCGAGAGTTCTCTTCCTCCGAGGGCTCCACACGCCCCAATTTCGTGGCCGAGGGTTTCATGGACGCGCTTCAGAGGTCACAGAGGGAGTTCAAGCTAATGTTCGTGTACCTTCACTCCCCCGATCATCCTGATGTCCCTGAGTTCTGCTTGAGGTGTCTTTGTGCGGTGCCGGTGGCCGAGTTTGTGAACGAGAATTTCGTGGCTTGGGGAGG